TCGATCATGTGACTGAGAAGACGAACCAACATTGTTACTTTGAGTCATTTGTTGGTCAATATCATTCGCAACTGTATTTTCATGTTTATAGATCATAAATATTTCATCACTTTAACAATCGATTGGTGTGACTTAAAGTGACTATATGTTGGTAAAAATAATAATTTTATGTCGGTGAGAATAATAAATTTTAAAAGTAATGATGTGATTGTAAATTTTGTTTACATATGAATTAAATGATTAGTAGATATAGAGTTGTTTTAACAAAATTTAAACGTGTGGATCAATTTAAGTCATACACAGACGCTTAAAGTTCTAATATTTCATTTAGCTACCCCAATTCAATCTTTTTCCTATTGAACACCTAACTATTGTAAATGTGTACCTATTAGACATTTTTGATGACATGGCACTATGTATGTAATACACACACCTAAAGAGCGTGGAAGACATATTTTACTTTTAAAAAAAAGATTTTTTTTATAAAAAAATTATAGTAATATCTCCTCTTCTTCTTTGACTCAACTTAACCACCATTGCTAACAACTTTCCTCCATCACCATTCTTTCTTCGGTCATTTTTTTCATCTTTTATTTTTCAAGCCATCATTTTCTTCCCCTTCTTTCAACACCCACCACCGACATCACAAATATTTAAATATATTGTGGTAAGAAATAGAATCAGAAATAATTTTGAGGAAACTCCATTTTTCCCGACGAATCTGAAATTATTTTTTTCAAAATCGTTAAGAAATTTAAATCCTAAAGAACTCACAACATAGAAGAAAAAAGTATCAACAAATCTAAATTAATATTTAAGGAAGTAGTGAGATTGGGAGAAATACCAATTACAATAATGGGTAAGATTCAAGGAGAAAGATAGGTGGGTGAATGGAAAAGAAATTCATATAATTTTGAATTAAAAGGAAAAAGAGTCTAATCCAAAATTACTATCGAAATGCTTCGATTTTGTGTCTCGTGCTAAGGGAAATGGTGAACGGATGTCGGGTGGGGGGGGGGGGGGATGTTCTAGGAAGAAGAAGAAGAAGAAAAGGGGAAAGAAATATTTTTTTATTTATTTTTTTTAGTGATAACATAATTTTTATTTATTTTATTTTTTCAATTTATGTTTAAGTGTTTTTATGGGCCCAATGCCACATGTCTCTTTTTTATTAGATATTATGTCATGTCAGCGTCGAGTGTAGGACACTTTCTCTTTACTTTTAGTTAATTGTCAAAATATGTTCAATAGGTATTTTTTAAAAATAAAAAAGGTGTTCAATTGAAACAAGTTTAAGAATAGGTGTCTAAATTAAATATGTGAACAACTTTAGGTGGCTATAGATGACTTAAGCCATTTTTATATTAAAATATCTCATATCATGATATGGAATCACATGGTGATTCCATATCATGCTTTTGGAGAATATAAAATCATGGGATAGAATCATCTTGAAATCGCATGTCCAAACGTTGATTTTATCTCACAATATCATATCGTGATATGATATCGCATGGCCAAACGCCTACTAAGTGTTTTCCCCAAATGGTAAGTACTTTCAAGGTTGAACTCATTGGTGACCCTCTAAAGTTGACACTAATTTTAATTAGACAATTAAACTAAGTTTTATTCATTTTAGACGTCTCAAATTGAATTCTGCTTTGTCATTTTAATACATTCTACTGATTTGACACATTGAATGTGCTTCAACTATTTTGAGAGCGTGAGGAATGTTTTTTTCAAGTTTTTAAAATATTTTTCCCTTCTTTTTCTTCTTCATTCTTTATCCCTACCACCATGAACAATCATGATGAAAAACCTTACAAAATATAAAAAAAAAAAAATTAAAAATGTATCACCTAATTTTAAAAATATTTATAAGAACTTTTTCTTTAAAAAAAACATCAAAATAATTTTGAAAATATTTATTCGAACAACACACATTTTTTAAAAAAAATTATATGAAGAATGAAATATTTGTTAGAACCTCACCTCTCTATCGATCAGATGGTTTTCAAAATCAAATTTACAACAAAACATGAAAAAAGAAAGATTAGCATGGAATAACGAAAAAATGGTGGGAGGGGTTGGGGAGGCAAAAATAACAGAAATAAGGTTGATGGGTGGGGTTGGGGTGATGTAAGATGGGAGATGTGGTATAAAATGAATAATTTTATTTATTTTACTAAAAAAATATTATTTTTTTATAATTTATTTTAAAAGTATTATTTTTACATTATAATTAACCATCATGTCATGTCATTCATAAATATGTTACACACTTCATATCTTAGGTGATTATCAAAAAGGGTCAAAATGACAATTCTATATTCATGAACTTCAATTGCAAAGATACATCTTTATAATGATTTTTTATTTTTTGCAGAGAGTGTTTGTATTGGCTTAAGAACCCGTTTGAATTGGCTTAAAAATTGATCAAATATACTTTTAAGTAAGTTTTTTACAAAAAATATTTGACAAATATATAAAAAAAAATATAACTTAAAATAAGTTTAAAAAATGACTTAAAATAAGTTAGAAAATGTTTGGTAAGGTCAAAATGACTTATAATAAGTTAAAATGACTTAAAATAAGTCAAAAACCAAAAGTAGGTCACCCCTACTTTTTATTTTTTGATTGAAAAGTCATTTCTATTTGACTTTTTATTTTTTACTTAAAAGTTATTTTTTTAAAACCAATTAGAGCGGACTCTTAAAAGTTAGTTAAATTTACTTTTTAATCAGTTTTTCACATCTGCATATTAGGCAAATTTAAAAATAACTTAAAATATGTCAAAAAAACTAAAAACATGTCAAAAAATGTTTGACAAAATTAAAAATAACTAAAAAAATTTTTAAAATAACTTAAAATAATTAAAAATTAGAAGTAGGAATGAGGGACTTCACTTCAATAGGATGAATCTCAAAGCTCAAGCCAATCCAAAACCGTTTCTAAAAAAATTGTAGGACTTCTTAAATTTTTATTCATTGATCTTCTATTATTTTTTCTAAGTTGCATTTGATATTTCAAAAACAATCACTATTTATTAAAGAAAAACTAACAATATTATAAGTTGACTGTTATATTAATACTAAAAATCTCTATACAGATGGAACCATGAAATTTTATTGATTTATAGATATATTATTTAATCGATAAATATTTATCAATTTAAATAATAGTATTTAATGAAGGCTAATGTGATTATATCAAAATCATTGTATCTTTCTAATTTATGCATCATATTTATTGATTTCACATAAAAAAATGTTATGCATAAATTACAATGAATATATAAAACTCATTATATCTTACTAATTTTAACCTTATGATATTGGAATAATAAGAGCATTCAAAATGTATTATCGTAACAAACTTTATCATAGGATATTAAAAAACAATAAAGTGGACAAACTGATCCAACAAATATTAATGTTTTGGATGTTATCAATTTTGTAATTCCTGCTTGAACAACAAATGTTCAACAATAGACAATAGCACATTGTTTTCGACTATTTGAAATTCGATCGGGGAATACAATTTCAGAGAATTTAAATAAATTTACTTGTAAAAACGTCATTTATGAACTTGAGGTCATGATTAATTATCTCAATTATTACAATAAAATGGAATCAATAAGTTGTTAGATTATTCGAGTAAAAGTGATAAATGTTTAGAGGTCCAAAGTTTAGAATTAATTGTTGATACCATTGAAGGCAATATTGATGATGAATTTGAAGATGAAATCATATCATTGGAATCAATTATGCATAAGAAAACACTTATCGCATTTAAAACTCTTTACAATTTTATGATGCAATTCAGAACGACAACACTAGAGCTCTTGGATGCAATAAAAAAAATTGGATATAAGCTTTAACTAAATTTAAATTTTAAGAAAAAACTGAACACAATAAAATCATATTTCACTAAATTTTCTTAAATATATTTAATCTTTTAAAGAGTTATTAATTTATAATATTAATGAAACCATGTATTTATATAAGGGTCTTCTAGAAATATATTGGTTATCTTTATAGAGATTTTACATTAATTTGTGAAATATGATCATAAAAGACAGCAAAGTGTTAATTATAATTATCCCAATTGCAATATTAATGTAATTTTCTTCTTTCAACAAGTAGTGATTATCTTTAAAACAATAAATACACATGAAAAAAATAATACAAGTTAGATGAAAAGATTGAATTAACATAAATAAAAATTTGAGTTAACTTTTAATAAAGCACAAAAATATAAAGGCATTATAAAACTACTTCAACAAAACAACATTTGATACTCATTATTCATTGCAATCAAGAAATAAATAGTTATACACCAATCAGACTTATTATTTATTTTTGAATTTATAATATTTACTAATTTCAAAAGAATTGTTCAATAGTTCAACCCCACAAAACTTCAATTTTCTTTTCATATTCAAACACAGAATTAACACCAACATTTAATAGTTATTATATTATTCAAACTTCAAACTATGCCACATTAATCGAAAAAAATGAAGTAAAAAAACTTTGTTGTAATTTTAGTTATATAAAAACAATACAAAAAAAAGATAATACTAATGGTATACATAAAGGAGAAAATCATAAAACGTAATTAAGCAATAATTACAGTCAGAGTTCAAAAGGTAGAAAAAGGAAAAAAAGAAAAAAAGTGGCTCAAAAGTGCTTGAAAATAATCATAGCTACCTCTCAATTAAAATTAAACGAAAGGTACCTCAACTATTTGAGAGATTTTATAATTTCTCATCATTGCCACATTACTCAAAAAGAAAAAAATATCCAACAAATAGAAATGATGATAGAGTTGTTTTCTTTAATCAAAGATTTAAGACAAAACAATTCTAAATCAATTAGAATCCCATATAAATATTGAACACAGATAAAAATTAAACAAATTAAAAAATAGGAATGATGGTTAAAATCCAACTTGGAAAATTCATAAGAAAAATAATGAAAAAAAATGGTTAAAGGAATTCCTCTCAGACAAATGCCTCGATTTGTCCTCACGATTTAAAAGAATGGATTTCAGACTCGTCATCTTAGTTTTGTTCATAACAGAGGAAAACAAAAACACAACAATATACAATCAATGATAGATTTATGAGAAAAATGAAGGAAAAAAAGTTAAAGAACACATGAAATATTGAAGAAAAATGATTGCTCTATAATTATATCATAGACATAATCGATTGATTTCTGCAGATATAGTGTTAAACAAAAAAAAATGGGAGAGATGCAACAATGAGAGGAACCACTTTGTACTTATAGGCGTGAGTTACTTTAGGGTTTAGATTAGGGCTTTTTATTATGAAAATCATATGGGCTAGTATTGGTAGCCCAACTTAGTCCAAGTGGCTTATCTAAGCCCAATTATATAAACAAAAAACTAGTTTCAAGAGGAGCAAATTACATAACTTTCCTAACAGAGAACTTTCGCAAATAACTATTATAATGAATTTAATTATGTTTCATAACCATAGTTTATATATTTACAGGTTGTAATTATAGTTTAAGCTATTTCAATTTTATAATTTGTACAATTTGAAAACATTTATATAATTATGTTATTTTTATATAAATTCAAAAAAAAATGAATTTGTACAATTACAAAGAAGTATAGATAGTTATGTAATTTATATTATATAAATTCTGAATTATATAAAAATTATACAAATTATATTAGATAAATTTCAAATTATACAACATGCGAATTATACAAAACTAAAAAATCATCATCCCACCCAAGTGTCTATGTTAGGTAATTCACACCGAATTCATTACTATAATGAGTAGGGTTATAGAAAATTAATGTATGAATTTTTATAAGTTGAATTTATCAATATTGCACGTATATTTATAAAGAATAAAATTTTCGATATCGGCTACACCGCCTTTATCTATCCTTGATTTACCAAAAAATTATCTTAGTTTGATTTTCTTCGTTACTTCTTTTTATCATCTAAGTACTCACAATTTATTTTATTTTCTCTTAATGTGTTATGTGTATATATATAACCGTCAATATAAGCTAGATTCGTTAGATCGATCTAGCTTAATATTAGATTTAATAGGATTAGGCTAAGATTTTTGAAATCCATTTTTTTTAAAAAAAAGATTTTTTAGCCCGGTCTGAATAAATCAGTTGATTTTTGGGGCATGAAAAATTTACGTAGAGTTGGTCCATGGATCGATAAAAATTAATTAAAAAATATAATATAATAATAAAATTTAAAATTAAATAGAGTTCAAACTCAAACAATTAGGTTAATATTTCTTTTTAGATATTTATACTTTTCCTATGAAAAAAACTTAATAAATACTATAAAGATCATTTCATGAGATAATTTCAGAGACCTCCCTTCAAGTTTCGCTTTATAACACTGATCTCCTCTAACGATATTACGTCTACCTTCCTTATTTCCTTTTCCTTGTAACCATTCTTTAATTTCTTTTAAAATAAATATAAATTAATTTAAATTTGACAATTTTATCCTTTTTATATTAATTTCTTCATATTAACATATATTATATCAAAAACAACGTATTGAACAAATGTTTTAAAATAAATCAGCACAAATACATGTTTTTTTAATCAAACAAAGATCAAAGTCTTCATCTAAGCTGACTCACTATTTTCACAAAATATTAACTCTTCATATCTATTTCACATTTATCAATTTCATGTAGATATTCCCCCCAAAATAATCCATTATTTCCCAGCAACGATTATTCAAATAAAAGATAAAAATGAACTCCTCAAGAGAAAAAATCGATAAGAACGATCAGATTTCATTCTAGTTAACATTTTCACGAGCGAAGACAAAGGAACAGAGATAAATCATTTAAAATTAGATCTAAACTTGCATATATAAGGGTAAAATTGTCAAATTTAAATTAGTTTGTATTTATTTGAAATAAATATAAAAAAAATGGTTACAAGAAAATGAAAAATAAGGGAGTTAGACGTAATATTGTAAACCACAGGAGAGGTGAGTGTTATAGAGTGAAACCTCGAGAGAGGCATATGAAATTATCCCTAATTTTATTTGTGGATTTGATTAACAAATAGTAAAATTAGCATCATGTAATATCGTTTTGTCGATATTTATGATAATATTTTTAAATTATAATTTATAATTTAATTTAATAATTATAAAAAATATAATTTGACCATGTACTTGTGAGTTGGGCCGACGATTTTCCGGCCCACACCAAAAATGGGCTAAGCCAACCTAATCCGTAAAATGTTAAAGCCCGTATGTATTAGTCCGAATGAAGTGTGCTAACCCATATTAACAACTCTATGTATATATGGTGTATGTGTGTTACGTGTACTTCATGTGGGGTGGACGTGATATACGGTAATCTTTTTTAAATTTGATATGATAATTTTAATTTTTAATATTTAGAAATATCTTATTACTATCATACTAAATTAGGTTACTGTAATTTGATATTTTTAATTTTGATTTTGATATTTTGTTGCGTTGCTCTTCATAACCATAACTTGTTTGCATTTGACTTTCATAAATTTATATAAAATAAAATATCGTATAAATTCCTATCATATCATTGTTTTCCCCTAATTTCATGTATATAATACTGATGTCTTATTAGAAGTGGTATTCCATTAGATAAGTGGTCTTATTCCTCGATACAAAATCCTCTTTTAACTCATTTTGAGCCATCAAATAAGACCACCTACCCATTCAATTATAGCGTTTTTCTTTGGAGGCTTTTGTTGCAAATCAAAACCTTTGATCCCTAAGGTGTTATAATTAGTTGGTCGTAACAAGTTAATATAATGTAATTGAAAAAAAATGATTTTATAATAAACAAATACTTAGAGATGTTAAAGTGACTTGCCTGCTTGAATTAACTTATTTCAAAGGATTTTCACTTTTAAACACTTTTTTTGAATGTGTACAAAAATGCTATAAAGTGCTTTTAAGCTCTCACTTTTAGGCCAAACAAGTTTTTAAAATAAATCAAAAGTCAACATTTAGAGTTTTTTCTTATGTATTTTAACTTTTGACTTATAAGTTATTTTTTATAAATTTATCCAAATAGACCCGAAATATTAAAGAAAAACTCTAAAAATAGCAAACATAATAGACATAATAAGATTCTATAGCTACAGTTTGATGATTATGCTTCATAGTTATAGTTTTGTGTGTTATTAATGTTGTGATTTGTATATTTTTGTCCGTCTATATATTTCACTTTCGAATATATAAATAGGGTAAGTATATATAAATTATGTATTTATACATTTAGAAATTTTCAGAACTTCGTCTCTATATTTCGCTTGCTAATATACAAACATAATATTTTATTATAAATTTTTCATAAATAGTATATAAATAGCTAAGATACACAAATACAATATTCTGGATTTATACAACCAGAAATCGAATTATACAAATTCTAGATTTATACAAATCAGACTAATAAATAATAACCGTGAATTACAATTTTCTTAAACTGGAGCGATAGTACCTAATATATGCTAAATGTTTGCTATTCTACTAGCTTCTAAGCTAAGGTAAACATAACTTCATCTAGAGTAGTTCTTTTACGGACAATACTTTTCTTAATCCATCTTCATTTTGAAACCGTGTACGCGTAACAAATTTGTCCATAAAAGTTGATCAAATGGTATAATAACTTACTTCCCCTAACCATACTATAAATACTTCTCTCACATTATCACTATATTTGTACAACTGACCAATTCTTATTCCAATCTAATTCAAAAACAAAAAAATGTCTGGAATCATTCACAAGATAGAAGAGAAACTCCACATTGGAGGACACAAGGAAGGGGAAAAACAGCATGACCATAATATGCACAAACAAGAAGGGCACAAAAATGAACATGGTCATAGTGAAGAGTACCATCATAAGAAAGACAAGAAGGAAAAGAAGGATAACAAGCATGACAACAGCAGCAGCGACAGTGATTAGATCGCATTACAACTGTTGTGTATGATTGTTATGTATTGTTTCATAATGTATCATATTGTACTGTCTTATAATGTATCATGATGTATATTTTAATTAATAAATGTTTGAATAAATTAATGTTATGACGTAGTGTTACAGATCAACAATGTGAATGTTAAACCTTCAAAATAAAAGTAAGATTATAAGGTAAAGCTAGGGTAAAAAGTGACATTACCAGTGTCAAACATGTAGACTCTCAAGGCTATTATTAAAGAAGAAGCTTTTCATAAAATACAAATACACCCTCGAATATGAATTTATTTTCTTGATACAAACATGTTGATACCAAATTTAACTGTCTCTTCTAATATTGTAGAATGTAGAAAGAAAGAAAGAAATGAAGAGAGAAAAAATTTAAAGGACTGGGCCGGGATGTAGCAAACATTTATAATTAATTATATAATATGTAATTAATCACACAACATACATGAATATTAAGTATTATATCATGAGTTGTATAATTGAAATGAATATTACATCACTTGCTGATATTAATATAACTTTTGTCAAAGAAGAAGACTCTCACCATGGTGAATGCATGGATCCAAGGTACATGAATACAAGTTTTTACTCACTAATGGATGTATCACATAATTAGCATGCAATGTTTCTTCCAACTCTCTGTTTTCTGTTTTACTAGTATAAATGAGACGTTTTTGAAGTATAAGTTCACAAAAGAAGAAGAAAAAATGTTGAGTCAAATTGTGAAAAGGTCAAAAATCAGCTCTTTTTGTGTCTTGAACCTTTTGCAGGTGACGTAATGCTTTGTTGTTTAAATTGCTTGTTTCTTTGTTAATTTTAGGTTTAACAAAAAACAAATAGCTAACTTTCCCATTAAAATTGTCATACGATAAACTTGTTCCTTTGAGCTTTTCTGATTGGTTATAGTTCACGTTTCCCCTAAATTTATTACGAAAAATCAGTTACACGCTTAAACTATTGTGACGACCTATTACACATATGAATTATTAAAAAGTGAGTTTATTTCAACTCTGACGCACATACAACCAATTACATGGTAAGAGAAAGTGTTTCACGCACTCTCGCCACATCAG